GAAGCAGAGGCAGGCGAATTGCTGTGAGTTCAAGGCCAGCCTGATCTACAAAACAAGCCCAGGACAGCCAAGGCTATACAATGAAACCCTGTCAAAACATACAAACAAACACAAGGGAGGGGGCTACAGCTGGGATACAAAGGTAAATAAATCGTAATGAATAAAACAATAAAAAGAACTCAGTATCAGAAAACAAACAAACAAAAACATAAAAACAAGCAAGGAAAGAAAAAGACTATAGTCAAAGACTATAACTGGAGATACCTTCTGGAGTTCTCTGTACTTGCTTCCGGCCCTTCACCTCCCATCAGCCTCCCCGTGTGCTCATCTCAGATACATCTTTTATTTTGTCCGGTATCACTTGAGAGAAAAACCAAGTTCATATATTAGTCAGCCCGCTAAGCCTTAGGGTTTTTCTCCTTTATTTTTTCATCTTTCTTTTTCTTGGTTTTACTTCAAGGTCTTATCAGTTCTTAACTGAGTTATAGTAATAGTAGCACCCACCACTCTACCTACCCCTACATCAACCTACTGTCCTTTTAACCTTAATCTCTATTTTACAAATTTCTTTAGAGATTTCCAAGACACAAGTCTAACCACGTTTAACCCTGTTCTCAGCAGTGCTCTATGCCGAAGAGATTCAAAGCCTGACCTAGATTTTGTCAGCAAAGCACAGCTTCAGTTTTGCTAGCAGCATCTTCCTTCTCTTTTTCCCATCTTCTCATCAGTCATGCCAAAATGCTAACAATTGCTAGAAATTTCATGGTATGGTATTATTACTATTGTTTAAGCTCTGAGGTTTGTGTGTGCCCTTCTTTTTACTTCGAATTTTGTCTCATTTACCATTTCAGGCTAACCTCAAATGTCACTGCCCTATTATAGCTCCCTGTCCTAGCTCTCCACAGTTTGTCCCAGTAGCCAAATGTTATCTTTCTCATAGCATTTTCCTAAGCCTCTCTCAGCATTTCACAAGACTGTAAATGCTTTTTGACTTTTATATCCTGCTACATTTCCTTTTTTTTATTCTTATTTATTTATTTTTGAGAAAAGGTCTCACTAAGCAGCCCTTGGATGGCCTGAAAATCACTACATAAACCAAACCAGCCTCCAACTCACAGAGATCCACTTGCCTCTGCTTCCTGAATGTGGAAATGAAAGGCAGGCAGCAACGTGCCTGGCCTACACAAGTGCTTTTAAAGGAAAGGACTATAATGGCTATTGCATGCTCAGGGCGTAAAGAGAAGGTCCAATGAACAGTGTGCTCTTTGATACATCATTATGTTAAATAAAGGAAAACAATCATGGTCCGAAAACACTACGGTAAGAAACATGTAGAAAATATGTTCTAGAATTCCTCAGAAAGAGAAATATAAACAGTTAATTTGAAGGTGTTTTCTTAAACACTGAAGCTGTGAGATTCACTGAATAAATCAATGTTATTGTTTTCCACAATTAAAAGTGTTATATTTGATCTTTCTTACATATTTTTTTCTTAAATAATTTCATTGAGAATAGGACCCTAACTATGTTGTTCATTCGGAGAGTAAAAATACTCTGATATTACAGCTAGGCCTAGACAGAAAATGCTCTGGTTGTAGTTCACCTTCCATGACAGCTTTTCTTCCCCAAACAGATGTAACTTTTTTTTTTTTTTTTTAATGTATCTCCTTAACTAGATTATACGGGCTTTCAGGTGAGGAGGCTTCCAGATGGTTTTTTGTACACAGTAGGTACTGAATAACTATCCACTCTGGAAACACCAAGAGGATTTCAAAAATGATGACTTTTTGTCCATGGGGACAAGTGTATGCATGGCATGGGTCTGTGCCAGGGTGTACAACCTCGAGTGTCAGACCTCAGAGTCCCCACTTTTGAGATGGTCTGTTTTGTTGTTCACTGATGCCTAGGTGAGGCTCTCTGGCCCTTGAGGTTTCAGGGATTCCATTGTCCCTGCCTCCCTTCTCACACAAGGTGGATGACTGCAAACACAAGCTCCATGGAGGCCAGTGTTTCAGGAGTTCTGGGGTTTGAACACAGGTCCTCATACTTTCCCATCAAGTCCTTTACTCAGTGAGCCATTGTCCTGATCCCCCCAAAATGATAATTTTTGGAGTTAATGTTTTCATCCTGAGCTAAAAAGGCTTGGCTTAGCAATATTAACTTTGCATTAGACTCATATAAAAGCATGGTAAGAATAGGTTAGACCAAAACAAAATGGCTGGCAAGTCAGAAGACCAGTGGTAGAACAGAGCTATCTCAGAAAAAGATTGTATCATGAACGTAAAGTTGGAACAGTCCCCACTGATGAAATAGGTGTTGTGAACTGCCCTACTTGGTTCTGGTGGGCAGGCACTATTTACAGAGAGCTGTGAGTGTGGTATAGTACCAGAGACTGGGATTAAATTCCTTGAGCAAAGTTAGTATGAGAACTGAATTCCAAGACCACAGTTTCATTAGCTGAATTGCCTCCCGATTGATGAAACCATCTTCGCTGAACACAGTTTGCAAAGCTTCAGAGAGCCACAGGGCACAAAGGGAAGAGGTCTTAAAGATAAATGGATTTCAATGGAAGGTCCAAATTTAAAAGGCATTTAGAGGGATCCAGAAACATTAACAGACACTAATATAATTGTTCTCAGTGTGGAGATGACTTAGTGTATGAGACTGTGCCGAAGGGATCCTCACATTTGACAATTTTTGAAGAGGATCCATGGGAGTCTGTGACTTAGGAATCAAAAGGAAAAAAAAAAACAGAACAGAACAAACAAAACACCAGGGCAATAATGAAAGTTAGGGAAAAAGGTGCTTCAAATGAGTTACTTAGCTCTTGTGTGCACTTAAGGTGGGCATTCTGGGCAGAAGACCACAAACGTGGCCTGCTAGCTGCTCTCTTGATGTTATGATCCAGTATCACTAAGCATTCCAGAAGGATGGCGGCCAAAAAAGGAACTGTTGCCTTGGCTCAATGTGGCTTCTCATTTCCCTGAGGTCATTGGTTTCATTGGGACATTTTGATCCTCCCGGTGGGAAGAGGTAACAGGAGGTTCAGAGAAGGGGTAAAAAGATACTTTCGACTTCAGCTTGGGAGGATGTTCAGCCATAAAAATAACAATGTCGGGCTGGAAGGGTAGCTCATTCAGTAAAGTACTTGCACTTTAATCCTGAAGTGCCAGATGTCAGCCCCCAGGATTCACTTAAGAAAAGCAGGTTGTGTTGGTGTGTGATCGTAGTGCTAGGCAGGCAGACACAAGCTGGTCTCCGGCCAGCCAGCCTGTTCTACTTGGCAAGTTAGAGGCCAGGAAGAGGTCTTGCTCATACAGCTCCCCATTTCCCCCCAAAGAGTTGACAGGATGGTAAGATGGCTCAGTGGGGAATAGTGCCTGACCTCAGGCCTGCGAATCTGAGTTTGACCTCTGGACCATGGTGGGAGTGGAGCATCCGCTCCTGGAAGTTGTGGCCTTACTTCCATACAACCATTGTGGAATGAGTCTGCCCTCCCCTTCTCTCAAGAAATAAGCAAAATATAAAAAAGAAACGATGGACAGTTCTTGAGGAATGACACCCAAGGTTCTCCTCTGGCCACCACATGCACTTGTACATACAAGCATGAGCCCTCACACACACACACATACTGAACATGCATGTACACACACAGTGAGACACAGGCACAGGCACACACGTGCATACACACACACACACACACACACACACACACACCAGTGAAAATTCAAATGGCTTTGGAAAGAGACACTTTCTAAGAGTCTGTGCCAGGTTAGGGAAGTTGCCAGAGGAGCAGAAGTGTAAGAAAGCAGGAAGCAAGCCATTTCTTAAAAAAATTGAAGTGTGTGGGATACTTCCCTACACTTCCAGGATCTGATCATCCTATCTGTTCTAACAAACAGAAATATTCACATTTATGAGGAGATTCTCTTTCCTACACAGCCTGGCTCAAAGGCTCTGTCAGTGGGTTGCAGCTACACTGTGTAATAGAATCTCCAGGGAACCTTTAGAAAAATTAGTTGACTCTGGGTGCTCCCCTGGAGGTTCTGATTTAATTAGTCTGGGCTGGCAACAGTACTTTCAAAAGCTGCCAAGTTATTAAGTACAGCAAGAGTTGAGAACTAACTAGTGTGGTAGATAGGAAAAGGAGATAAGACACCGGGGGGAGGGGGTTCAGTAAGTCACCTCTTGGATTTGTTTAGCTTCAGAACTAAATGGTGTTCCATAAAGTGTAGCACATCCACATGTGGGTCTTGAGTCCCATCTGATTTGGTAACACGTGGGTAGGACTTCCATGCATATGTTTTCATATATGCGTACACATGTATAGTAGAGACCAGCATATCAAATTTGAGTAGCAGACATCTCAAATGTATACTTCTGAGGAGGATGGGGCTACCTCTACCAAAGGTTAGGCCATGAGTCTATGCATGTGGGTCTTCTGTAGATTTCAGGATAAGCAGCAAGTACGTGAAGATGTGGGAAGAACTCGTGAAAGAGGAAGCAAGCATGTAGGACTTGAAGAATGTGGGCAGGAAGGGAGCCCAGAATCTGGGAACTCTTTCTCTGCAACGCTTCCTGACTTAAAGGCTGACTTAAAGGCGATGTCCCTCCACAGCCAGGAGGCGGGTCCATGCCATCTCCTCCCGGTCTGTTCCTCTCCTTGCAATGCCTGCGACCATCTCAGTAATGCCTATGCTGCTGAACTGGGATCCAACCGGAACCCACACCGGGGTCTTCCTGTCTTACACATACTATCTGATCACAGATGCCACAGCCTGAGACTCACTCACTTGGGTCTCTTCTTTCAGATTCAAATCTGAGCTAAACCTAAGGTGACTTGGATACCTAAGCAAAACGGGACAGAAAACCAAGGTTTTCAGCTCTGCAGCAGCACAAAAGGGAAGCCCGAGTGACCCAGATCCAGGTTATGCAAACTTGCAGGATGAGGGTTGACATGAAAACCCCAAGCAGAACAAACAAAACCAGCCTGCAGGAAAGACGCTGCCTTGCTGACATTTCTTTCTATTTGACATTCTCCTGGCATGATGCAACCTCAGTTGCCCAATTTATATTTGCACTTTCCCCCCCTTGTCCACAAGGAGCTTCAAAAGCTCCCAACTCCACAGCATTCCTTTCAGAAGTTCAAGTGTCCAGTTCAACAAGGTTGCAGGGCAGGCCTGTGACATCGACTTGACTTTGGGCAGAGCAAAGCGTTCTGAGTAGGCTTGGAATTCTCAGGTAAACTGGAAAAGGACAAGGGGCAAAGGCAAGATTTGTAGCTGATGGCCCCACTTCCACCTTGCCCCACCGTTCGTTCTCACACCCACTGGATTACACACCGCCAGCTGCACCTACAACCTCACCTTTCTCCCTGCCCTGTTCTTCCCCAATTCAAAGGGCACTGACCTTGGCAAGGGTGAGTCGGATGAAAACCGTGCCCAGGCTTCAGCCTCCTCCTCCTTTCCCTGAGGCCTCCCGCCCAGACTTTCCACATCCTAGCAGCTTCCTGGCCACCCAGTCATCAATACACCTTTCACCACCCAACAAAATGGCAGGTTGGCGACAGGAGAGGCGGGGAGGACGCTGGTTCCACCAGCCAAGCTGAGCCCCTTTCCAAAGCCCTGAGTCCTCAAGACCCCTCCAAGCTTAAAGAGGAGAGGGTTCCTGCCCAAGTCCCTAACCTTGGGCCCCTAGCCAGCTCGTTCGTTCTCTAGGACACATTTCCATTCCAGGCCGGCGAGCAGGTGTCCGCGTAACAGGTGCCAGGCAAGAGGCCCCGGTGCAGCGTGGAGAGGACCCGACACCCACAGCAGGAAAAGACCACTTCTAGAGAAAGAAGGCTGAGCGAGGGCGCAGAGGGACCGCCCTGGGCCGGGGGCAAGGATGCTGCCTATCCTTGCTCCCGGGGCTGGATCGTCGCCTACGCTGCCCCACTTACAATCTCTAGGCAGACGAAAGCTCCCGAATAGGTCCGCAGGATGTCGGGGCCAGCGGGCAGGGTGACCCGGGGAGCCGGGAAGGACACGGCGGGGTTCGGGGGCGGCGGGATCGCCGCTCCGCCGGCCGACATGCTGCTGCCGCTGCTACGTCTCCGCGCGCCGCCGCCGCCGCCTCCCGCGTCCCGCCTCCGCCTCCGGGGCTTGGCCGCCGCCGCAGCCGCCGATCCGGTCCGCGGGGTCCGGGCGTGCTGCGCGCCGAGAGGGTGTGGCTACGGGCTCTCGGTGGACAGGGCCCCGCCCCATCACGTGGGCTCAGGTGAGCGCGCCTCCGCCCTGGCGTTCCCGAGGGTCACCGGCACAGGTGCGCTATGCCCCAGCCTCAGCGCCAGCTCCGCAGCACCCCACGCCCGGGATCTTCAGATCCCACCCGTTACCCCTGCGCTAAGTGTCCGCCGCGTCCCACCTGCCCATCCCACCTAAGGCTCCCTGCTGGTCCTCAGCCACTTTCCCCAGCTGGGTAGGGTGGCAGAGGCTGTGACTCAGAAGGAAAAGTCCAAGTGGCCAGGCACACCTGGAGAACTGAGTACCTGCTAGAAAGGGTAATTCTAGTGGGATTATGAACCCAATGCCAGGGTCGTGTGGCGCTTTGGAGTCAATGGCAGTGGGTGCCCTGAGGGCTGCTTTGAGCCGGTCCTGCTCTGTTCCGGGGAGATCCGTGAAAGGATGTCCTCCAAGGATGAACAGAAGCGCTCTTTAAACTGTAGCTTATAGGACGGACAGCAGCTATCCCCCCCTCCCCACCCCCAGTTTAGACCCCTTCTATTTCACCCTCAGAAATGAACTCTTTGCCATTGCTTTTAAACACTTAAAAGATATTAAAAACAAAAAAACAAAACCAGGATGCTGCTATATGGTCTCCTGCCTCGGTTCACCTCCCTGAACCCCCAGTTTAATCTTGGTTTCCGTGTCAACGTTTTGTAAGTGGAATAAAGGAAGAGTCATTTCTCAAAGATCATCTGAAGATAAGTTCTACAAATCAGCACACACGCAGATCAAGTTGTTTTTACAGAAAGCTAGGCCCGGCCTGGGGCTCCAGGCCTGGAATCACAGCGCTTCTCAGGCTGAGGTCATAGAACTGCTGTGAGTGTGAAATCGGCAGTAATAGGAAAGCTAGGGGTGCTTAGAAGACCCCGTCAAGCAATTAAAAACAACCAAAGCTGTGCAAACATACCTGTGTGTTTATTACCTACATTTGTACACACACACACACACACACACACACACACACACACACACACACACGCCAATATCAGACATTCTCCAAATTGAGCCTTGTTCTGGTCTATCAAGTTTAGCTCTTGAACAGTGCGTCACTTCCTACGTGGATCGTCAGCAGGTTTTACCCTGTCTTTATTGTTTTAATAAGCGAAACTCATAGGTGTGGTGGCGGCACCAGAGGAAAAGCCACAAAGGAGGGTGTGATGAAACCTTTTGTATGCACTTCCTCTCACCCCCACCTGTTAGTCACCAATTTCTGGCGTTTTGTGTGTGGTGTTTTCAAGTTTTCTGCGTTGATTTGTTTGATCAATGAACTTTTCTGTGCCCAGACCCTGATTGGCAAGAAATCTTTATGTCTTATTTTCTGCTTAGGAAGCACTTAAAGGATGTTCAAAGGTGAGGCCACTTCAGAGAATTTGTAGTGGAAATGCAGAGTAACTGCATACAAGATATTCAAAGTATTGTGAGTGAACTTGAAATGACCTCGGAGTTTCCAGACCAATTAGTGACCTAATACCTCAAATACATTTAAAGTTATCACGAAAGAGAAAGCTTGGGATTATATCCTTCCAGCACCTGCCTTGCCATATGGCTTTCCCTGCCCATACCTAGTTTGGTTTTCAGTATGGCCGGGAGAATGCAAGAGACTGCTGTGTACCTCTCTTCTTTATCTTTGGTGATAAAGTTATCACCAAAGAGAAAGCTTGGGATTATAGTCTTCCAGCACCTGCCTTGCCATATGGCTTTCCCTGCCCATACCTAGTTTGGTTTTCAGTATGGCCGGGAGAATGCAAGAGATTGCTGTGTACCTCTCTTCTACTTTAGCGTATCTGCGCAGAAATGAATGCTTTTCTGGAATGGGCTCCCTTCTCATGATCACTATCTGTACCAGTTCTTTTCTTGATGATACCAGTTTCCTCTTCACAATGGCAAAATCTCTAAGCATCCTTTCCCTCAATGCTTATTTCTTTCTCCACAAAATTGACCCAGAGTTTTTAACAGTGTCACCTTTATCCATTTCCGTGACACCCAGAGTACCTTACTTTTCTTGTAGATTTCCTGGGCACCCTTATTGAATGGTTATTTTTTTTTAATTATTTGCTGTACATATGGATATTGAATCTGAGATTGTTGCCCATGCTAGGCAAGGTACCTCTCTACTGAATTAAAACCACTTAAGCTCACTTTTAATATTTTGTGGACAAGTCTTGCTTAAATTGCCCAGGCTGGCTTCAAACCATATACTGCTGCCTCAGCTTCTGAAACAGCTGGAACTACAGAGACTCTCTTTTGTGCTGAAGTCAATGTTCACACCTGCTGACATTTCTACCAGTCCTGCTTCACAGCTCTCTGCTGTCTTTATAAAGGTCAACCACATCTGGAGCCACTTTACCACTGGGAAATTTGTGAGTGCCATGCTTTCTGCTGGACTCTCCTATTCATTTATTTCTCCATCATAACCAATTCCTTGGTTTCCAGCAGTTTATCCTGTCTTTATTCCCCTATTAGACCAGTCTGGTATTTCTGGCTTTTCTATCCACCCTATGCCTTTAGGAGAGAATGAAATAACACTTGCATTAGCCTCACACACTGTTCTCTATTTGTCTTTTTCTTTCATCTTCACTGTTTCTTGTTTTTCAGCTGATGTTCAGTCCAACTACTTCATCTGCCCCTTTAATGTTATCATATTTCCTAGGGTTACGAAAAGGGTGTTAGAACCATGGCTATTGATTTCAGCACTACTGTGGCAGCTAGTGTTGGGTGAGCCTTATAGATCCTTCTACCCAACCCCCTTTCTCTTGGTTATTATTTCATAGCTTCTGGCTTCTTTCATGTTCTAGTCTTTGTGCGTAGAACAAGAAAACAAAGTTTTGAGTGGATGAAAGCAAATCTAGAATATTTAAGTCTTTCTGGCTTCTTTTATTTTACAAGGAGTTTTAGAACATCTGACCTATAGTATTTGCTTCATTGAAAACATTGCTGTCAATCCAATTATCCAGGACAAACGTGGATATTTCTGTTGCTTTTTTTTCTCGTGCTACAGCTTTAGGCAGCTACCAGATGTGGATTTTACTTCCCATGCTATATCCACCTCTCCTCATGCTCACTGTCTCACTCTACCTCACAGGACACAACTCCTTTCACAGCGAACACCCTGTCCATCTTACTTTCCTCATTTGTGTACTATATTCTGACACCAAAATGATTTCTAAACACAAAACCGACCATAGTCAATCCTCTACCTTATAACCACTCTAGAAATTCCATGCTTTTCTCTGGGTCAATTCCAAGTGCCAGGAATGCAAACACTTATGTGGCAGGACTTCAGGTGAACATTTTTCCTTCCCAGCTCTATTGACCCACTTAAAATGCCAGTTACAGTCTTGTCCTCAGCCTCCCAACACATTCGTTCTTCTACTAGAGCATCCTTTCTTTTGTATAGTCCATACCCTAAAAACTCTTTCCTAGAAGATTCCTTTGGGTCATAGAGGAGCACTTTCCAGTTTCACGGGCCCCATCTCTTCACATGTGTTCCCATAACTTGATGGGATTACTCTTAGTGCCATTACCTTGCTGAATTGAGGTGCTGTTCACTTGTCTCCCATCTCTGAGCTAGAGTTGTGTAACAGGATATTAATTTCAAAAGTTCATTTAGGGCACCAGGAAATATCAGGTATCAAGGGGAACTGTGTATCAGGACATCAGAAGTCTAGAGAGGGGTTGATTGCAAGCTTAGTACACAATATGTGAGCTACTGTCTTCTGTTAAGAATATTTACATCTTGAGAATGAGAAAGTTCGAAAATATGTTTGGGGGAGAGGTGGAGGAATTCTACTTCTTCCGTTTTTTCTCTTCACCACTCCCTGTCTAATTAACCTTTAGTCATTATTGCATAATACAAGGTCAAGTACAACAATCTATCCTAGAGAACTCTGTATTTAAATCTCTCTGCTTTACAGTCATTTCTTTTCTCCTTTCATATGAAGATTTGAAGTTCAACTCAGCTTTTCATTTTCCTCTTTACATTTCCTTCTGGTAATTAATTCCTCACTTTTCCTTTCTCTGTTTGACTTTCTACCCTCCATTTTCCATTTCATCTTTCCTCCAAATGAATATCTTCAATTTTCCCTTATTCCCTAAGCCGGAAATATTTTATTTCTATTCTAAACAAGAGAACCAACATTTGTTATACTGAATCACAGGAACAACTAAAATCAAAGTGGAAAATACGTGAGATGGTGATTATTTTAGGCTTTGCATGTCACATGGTGCAGAACTGTGGTTGGACAGGAAAGAAAAGCCCTATGGTTTTCTGAGGTTGAGGAATTTTCAGAGTGCAGGAAGGAGGCCTCCTTGGGAGAGGCCTGCAGTTCTTTTGAGTTTAGGTGACAGAAGGTTGAAATTTAAGGAAACAGAAGGGCTAGAGTTCATCGGGTACTAAAAATAAAAAGCTGTATACCAGCCACAACTGAGCAGTCACCAAAAGGGTCCCTGAAATCTCCAAGGGAGTACGGATTAGTACATATTAACACATGAAAGTGAGATATCTCCCCACAGCCAGGGCAGGAACACTTCAAAGGAGCAGAAGTCCACACAGAGTCAAGAATAGTTCATTTTCCATCATTCATAGTGTGATACTCCCAACGAATGGAGTACTGGGTAGAGTACTCAGGATTTTACCTCAGTAC